TTTTTTTAAAAAAATGGGTGAATTATGAATATTGCCTCCTAACTATGGAGGATTACAAGTTATTCCAGAAACTTCCATGTTCTTGTTAGGCATTTGTTGGCTTCCTCTCTTGTAGGTACCCCCTCCCACCACAGAATTGGGGAGTGGGTGACTATTGGCTGAATATTACATGATTATTTTGCTCATATACAAAAGTACCTTTGGACTTGAGGTAATAAAAATTGGCTTAATGTTATCTATAAATCAATCATTGTCTTCCCTTTTAGCATTAACACACATCAAAAAGTTTTCATTATTGTTTCATTGAAACACATGTTGCCCACTGTGTGTGACCACAGTTTGAAGCTGATTTGCATACTGTGCTTCTAAGGGAATTGGATTTATTATGATGATGGATATTAGTTTGAGCTAATATCCATTCATTATGGAACCAATAATTCTGATAGGGAAGCAATTAACTGAATGAAATCATATAAATTCACTAAACTATCATTATAACCTCATAGTGGTTGTTTGTAGAACTTGCCAAACCAGAAACAATCAAAACACTTTATGGCTTATTCCTACTTTGCAAATCATGGTTTGCAAGGAATCAGAATTATCAAATTCTTAAGAAGAAGAAAAAAAATCAATTTGTTTGGTAGGAATATAGACAATACCATTGTATTATACGCTTTTATTTGCTGAAAAACATGCATTAAAACACAGAGCACAGGGATAAAAGCAAAATTATAGAACATCTTCTTGCTCATGTAGATATATTCTAGTAGTATTTTTCTCTGTCTCAAAAAAAAGCAGGCAAACTTTCAAGCATCTCTTTCAAAGATATTGATACCTTACTCCGCAGCTCCATCTAGGCTTCCATTTCTTTTGAAATGTAGATTCCTGATTAGAAATCAGGTTATCTGGTTATCTTCTTTTTAAATGAAAAGGACTGTGCAATTTATGGTAATTCTGGCCTAGAAAATTTACTGGGCTTCCACTATCATTCATTCATCCATCCTATATAGCAAAAGGTGTTTTAGTCATCTGTATTCCCTGTATGCATTAGAAGACTTCACTCTGCACTTTTGTGTGTTTCTATAGATCAGTGTATAGGGACGCGGTGGCTCAGTGGCTAAGGCACCGAGCTTGCAGATCAGAAGGGGGTAGTCCAGTGGTTCGAATCCCTAGCGCCGCGTAACCGAGTGAGCTCCCGTTACTTGTCCCAGCTTCTGCCAACCTAGCAGTTTGAAAGCAGGTAAAAATACAAGTAGAAAAATAGGGACCACCTTTGGTGGGAAGGTTACAACGTTTTGCGCGCCTTCGATGTTTAGTCATGCCGGCCATATGACCACGGAGACGTCTTTGGACAGCGC